TGTTTTATGCAAAGCAAAACTTCTAAAAACCAGCTTGTTTTGATGTCTAGAATAATAGAGAATTCTAATAATAGAGAATTTATTTGGTGATTTTGATTATGAGTGATCTAAATTAATTTTGACTTGAAATCATTAATTTATTAAAACCTTGATAAAGTGTTTGGGTTAAACATTTCACAGAATATATACAATGTAGATATGGAATGATTTGTCTCACCTTTGCTTTGTCTCAACTATTTGTTATTCTATATACTGTAAACTGCTTAATTTTCATTGCTAGAAATATTGTTTTTTGTGCCTAATAATACTAATAATATTTAGGTGTAAATATTTTTTTCTCACTAAAATATATGCTATCGTTGAATTATGGTGAAAAATTATTAAGTACAAATGTACCAAGTAATTTGATTGTAAGTAATTTATCCATGTAAACCTTCTGAGACATTTCAGCTGACTGTCTTCGCATCACATCATCAGCAAGTTAACACTGAATACCGCCTGAAACTGCAAATGATATGTTACACCTTTCAAAGTCGTGGAAATCAAAACTATTTTCGGCAAATTATCACCATCTTTGATACTTTTCTGGTGAATCTGACTACCGCATAGACGTAATGGTGCATGTGCCTCGATCGGCTACTGCAATATATTTCAAGACAAAATAACTACTTGGTTTTGGAACTGAAGGGTTTGAACTTGCCAATGGACGTGCGAATAAGAGATATGTTCTCGCTTACGTACCTTTTATAGAATCGTCACAAATCAAATGTATTAATTTCAGTGTGCTTTCTACTGTGTACTATATCTGAAGGTGTATGATTAGTATCAGTAAAGATTTATAAGATTATAGTACTCAAGGGTGTGATATACCCGGTACAATGAAAATCCAAAGATTTGAAGAAGTTGCGTGAATTGCGAGATGATCACAAAATCACATAAGAAACTTACATTTTTGGAAATCCTAATGCAAATTAGTAAATCTGCAAAAGGAACTGATTGGTGTTCATCTTGAATCGTTTTTGTTGTGTCCTTGCTTATTTGCGAAGTGTGGTTCAATGTTTTTGAATTTGGCAATAATCTCTCATTTCTGTTTCGGTCAGGGAATATGTCCAAGTATTCACGACATTCTGTTAGAACTGTGTTTATTTGACTTGTACGAAATGGGATTGCAAAGTGTTTGCAAATCGCAAGAGTTCGCTTCTCCTGAGATCTTCGTCACATGGTTACGAACGTTACACACCAAGTAGTTTGTATCATGTGATACAAACTTTTTGTGGTTTTAACAATCCAAATATTGATCTGCTTGAAAAAAGTATAACCAGCTCTGAAATATTTTATATTTGCATTTATTAGGGGCCGTTATGTCAGTGCATATACCGGTACTATATGAGGTTAGTTTGGTATATTTTTGTTATTGTGTAGTGCTCTGCAGTGTACGTTTTTGGAAATTGTGCATCCTTTGTAGAAATGTACACACTGACGTTTTTGTCAAACTGGTTTGTACCTCGCAAGTGTATACTGTGTTTTCACAAGTCACTTGAACACAAGACTGAACACTAATTACCACTCATTGATTGCTGATTGCTGATTGCTCGATAATACTGTATTTGCTCTATTGGTCATTTACATAAAAGTTATAAAATAAGTTGTATTTTAGTGATCCAGTGTTCAATACATGTAATTTTTGGTTGACGTGCATACAGCTGTAAATGTTGGGGTGCATTTTTGCGGTAAAAGTACAACTGGTGCAGTGATTAGTATATTTTTATTGTTTTTGGAGAAAAATAATATGACACTAGTTAACATTCAGTAAATTTTACAATTGTTTTAACCATTGGAAGGTGCAGAAAATACACCAATGTTATAAAAGTTGACTCCAGGTCACAGCTGCCATAGAGGATGTACTTTTTTTTGGAAATAACATTAGGTAACTGTCAGATTAGTGATGTATTTTGTTCTTCTGCTTTGTAACAGTGTGAATAACAGTAGATGAAATAGTCTACCTACTTGGTTCATTCAATAACTTTTGGTTCAATCCACCAAGGTTTCCATAGCAATAATCCTAGGAACATTGCCAGAAGCATTTGTTTGAACTTCATTTTTGTGAGGAATACGTGTATCTAGGGTGCAGTGAAAAACTGTTCAGATTCAAACACAATAAGTGATGAAACCATTTTCAAAATTTTTGATTTGGATTCAAATTGTCTGAATTCAAAATTTGAAAACAGTGGATTATCATTTGATCTCAAATGTACATTGGGATTTCAAATATGCAAATGAGCGTTGTTGCTTTCCAAGCGTTGAAGGTAAAGTCGCAACAAATTCTGCTGGTAGTGTTCCTAAGAATATTACAATGTTGCAAGGAAGATATCAGTTTTCCTGATTGCTTTTTGTTTTAGCTTGCAGTGGGACACAATGTTCACTAGATTTTGAGTTAATCTAGTTTTTCAAACTACCAGCAATAAAGGGTGTCCATTTTTAGAGTTTATAAAATTACTTTGATTACAGTACTGTAAAATGACTAATTTTCACTGGGTTTAAATTTCGCTGAACGGTTTTATCATTTAGATAATGTGTTCTATGCTAAATTTTACATATTCACTGGGTTTTAATTTAGCGGATTCTCCAGTCAGCGAAATAAGCAAAATCAAGTTATTGTCAATGACACGTCCCCGTTCCGTTCATATTTGAGTGACATATTCATTCAAAGCAGCAACAATATGGATGTTGAACTTCAATTCAGTAAAACAAAATAGCCACCAGTCAGCCATTTTCAACAAAATCCAAAAAAAAAATTAAACTAAATTTGCCCACGCATGTCTAAGATTCAGTTCCGGTATGGTGAAAATGTGCAATTTTTGACCTTAAAAGGACTGGCCCAAATGCACAGGCATATGTATGATATAATGTATGATGTGTATGTGAAGTTTGAACTTGATCTGTCCAGGCATGTCCGAGATATGGATCGAAAACTAAATTCTTTAAAACAAAATGGCCGCCAGTTGGCCATTTTGAACTTGATCCAAAGAAAAATTGGTATGCATCAAGCTTATATTATACTTATATTCCGGAATTGTGAAAATACGCGATTTTGATGCATTTTCGGCCTTATAATGGCCATCATTCAGCTATTGTTAAGCGGATCATGAAACAAATGCACATATCTATTTGTGACATGATGTACCATGTGTGTGTGAAGTTTGAACTTGATCAATCCAGGCATGTCTCAGATACGGATCCAGAACTGAATT